TGCCCTGGGAACACTAAAATTAAAAACCCGACAGACCCAGAACACACAACTGACCCTGATGGTACTGCTCATTGAGTTGTCATCTATATAAGGGAAGGAGCACAAATGGAGCACAAATGGTAGTGGCATAATATAGCAATTATGTCACTGCTATCCTAGCCTCTTTGCTTACGTGGATTCCAGGACAAATGCCTAACAACCAAAGTTCAGTCTGAAACTAGTTTCTGACTGAACCACCAGCTCATCCCTGACATCCCTGATCTTTAATTAAGAATGTATTGATACAATTTTCATACTTCACAAAGCCTATCAAGCACACGCTAGGCTCTATCTTATCAATTAGCAATATTTCAGTGGTAGTATAGGAATGCAAGAATATAGAATTAACGGGGTCCAAAGACAGAGCCTTGGGATCCCCTATAAAAAGATGAAGAGGAAAGGAGAAAAGAGAGGGGGGAGAGTTGTAGATGATACTGAAGGCATGGGTGGTCAACTGTATCAGAAAGGCTTAATAGTATTGCAGCAGACATTGGTTTTTGCAGTTAGTAAGTCGTTAGTGAGTTTTAGTTGGATAGATAAGGATCATACTAAACTCCTTTGAAATTTTCCAGACCCTTGAGTGCAAACTGGAGGAGAACAAAAGTGAGAGCTATATTTGACTTTTAACAGTGCTAATAAATAATCGGGGGGGGGGGGGGGATCAAAAATTAGCAATAACACTTCAACTTATGCATTAATTGGGCTTGCAGTTGTAAGAATTTGCATGACCAAAATGTTGCTAACATTCAGAAAACATTGCAACCCTAAGGAAAAGAGTTTGCAAAGTATCAGTTTTATGCATATGCAAAGTCAGACACTGTTATAATCAAACTTCTGCCTAGCCAATGCTGCAAGCTGAAGCCTATGAAATGAAACAGAAAAAAGTTAGACCTCACTTATAAAGATATAGTTTATCTACTCTGCTTTTAAAGAAAAGCTGGTAGCTGTTCCATATATAACATTAGACAGAGCTGTATCACACTGCAGAACACCAAAGTCCTCCAAAGCTGGCCAAAGACAGTTTGAGTCTCAGCTGATTCAGCAGGAACCAGCTGAGATTCGAACCATGTATGAGCAATCGATCGATCAACTTGGATACAACCAGCTGGCCAGATTTTACATGCAATTATTACTAGTGGCTTTTATATAGCTGCTAGCAGTAACCACTGCTGAGAACACAATGGCTCCACAGGAGGGATTCCCCCATCAACACTGACTGTGTTGATGGGGGAATCAAGTGATTTTCCTGCATGGGTTGCAGGAAAGAAAATCACTCCATCTATGGCCAGCTTAAAACACAATATGAAACAATGGGTCTTGGATCTCCTGAAAAACAATGCAAGAGAAAGATTACAATGAAGATTGGTTGGTTAATGGATGATGGTTAATATACAAATCGATAAACATATAGATATACCAGAGTTTGATTCATATAATCCACTTTTACCCCTTTCCTTTCCAGGCCAACTTTCAGGTTTCAGCGCTCTCACACTTTGAATGACAATTGCCCTGTCATGTAATACTGTACCCAAACTGAATTTTTATCATTTTGCTCACACAACTAGAGCTTTCCTTTGGTGGTATTTAATCACCACTCGGGTTTTTATTTTTTGCTAAATAAACAAAAAAAAAGACCGAAAATTTGGAAAAAAGTTTTTCTTTGTTTCTGTTATAAAAATTTGCAAATAAATAATTGTTCTTCATAAATTTAGGCCAAGATGTATTCTGCTACATGTCTTTGGTAAAAATAATCCAAATCAGTATTTATCATTTAGTCTGTAGGAAAGTTATAGTTCACAAACTATGGTATATCTCTGAAAATTGATCAATCCTGAACTACTGACAGCCAAGCTAATCTAAAAATGTCAGAACAGTACAGATATCCCCCAAATTACCCCTTTTTGCAAAGTAGATAGTCTGACATATTTCATAAGAGGCATGGCAAGTCTTTTGAAATTGTAATTTTTATGTCATAATTTTTCGGTAAATTAAGAAATTAAAAAAATTATTTGCACAAAAATATATTTTTTACATACTGTCACCAGTGCAGTAAAGCATCATTATATAACTGGTGGGACGGTGATCAGGGACACTGACTGGTGACAGTACAAAAAAAAAAAAAATTTTTTTTTTAATTTTATTATTATCTATTTTATTTTCTATTACTTTTTTTCTCTTTGTTTTACAATTTTCTTTTCATCTTACACTATGACCAAATTACTATAATGTTACCATAGTAACATTGTACTACTTTGGGGAAGTGATCAGTATTTTTTTTTTTATACAATATGATTGCTTATAGCCAAGAATTTCTTTGCTATAAGCAAGCATTTAACTGAATGAAATCGATTCATTCAGGTTTTTTTTTGTTGTGATTAGCTGTGATTGGCCACGGCTAATCACATGACACAGATAAGTTGTGATTGGCCCAGTTTGTGCATGTGATCACTGTGACCAGTCATAGTTAGTGACACAATTGTATACAATGGATGGCATGAAAGGAAGCCATCCATTGATTACAGCTGTCATGTGACCTGCTGTGATTAGTCAAAGCAGATCACATGGTATTGGCAATGGGGCCGGTACACAGATCTGTCATCGGCCGTGTCCGAGGTACACATCCAGTTACAGATCTCGCCACAGCGCTGCCCTGTGGGCACATGCAAGGCGCGATCCGAGAAGGACGTCATTAGACGCCCACCAAGATCGACAAGAGTCCCGCGAAGCCATCATTTCTTATTGACTGGGCGGGAAGTGGTTAAAGTGGTTCCAAAGCTAATACATTTTTATCTTAATGCATTCCCTGCATTACAGGATAAGTTCAAAGCTAGCAGTGGTTCTTCTCCTCCCTTGCTAGCTGTCAAATTAAAAAAAAAGTGGCTCCACCCACACAGCCGCATCACTCATTCACAATCATTTATGAATGAGAGACTACAAGTCCCGATAGCCTTTGCAGCTGTCAGCTTGTAGTCCTAAATTAATTACCATGGCGTGCTGTGGTAGTTCATTCATTCTTCCTGTCAGTATATCTGCTTGCCCGTACATCCTGTACAAGCAAGCAGATATACTGACAGACCTGCAGGAGACTTACAGTTGCAAGAAAAAGTATGTGTAGAAAGTCTGTCTTACTGTGGACACATGAACATCAAGGCTTTTGGAGATACTTTTGTAACCCTTTCCAGCTTCATGCAAGTCAACAATTCTTGATCGTAGGTCTTCTGAGAGCTCTTTTCTGCGAGGCATGGTTCACATCAGACAGTGCTTCTTGAAACCAGTAAACCCAAAACAGGTGTGTGTTTTTTAAGGGCAGGACAGCTGTCAGCAACACATCCAATATCATCACACTGATTGGAGTCAAGGTTGGCTCACTCCTGGCTCCAATTAACTCTGGGAGAAGTCATTAAGCTAGGGCCTCACATACTTTTTCCTCCCTGCACTGTGAATGTTTACATGTTATGTGCAATTAAACCATGGCAACATCTAATGTTTGTGTAGTATTATGTTCAGCAGACTGTGTTCTTCTATTGTCGTGACTTAGATGACGTTCAGAGCACATTTTATGCCCAATTCATGCAAAACTCCACGTAATCCCAAGGGGTTCACATACTTTTTCTTGCAACTGTACATGGCACCAGTGGTCTGCTGATCACTGGTGCAATGGTCTACAGGCTCCTGCAGACAAAAATAATAAATGCATTATTTTTTCCTGCAAAAAAAGTGCATTAATAATTTTTTTCTAAAAGGTGAACTCATCCTTTAAGGTAACAAACTTGCTGTGCTCCCCCACCTCCCTATGTACTCAATTGATTCAGCAATGTGCATGGCTGCATCTCTTCTCTCCTCCCTCCACTCACAGGGACTGAGGGACAGAAGCCATTGGCTTCTGCTGCTGTCAACCAAATGCTAGGAGGAGGGAGCAGGGGATGGCAAGGAGCTGGGCTGTATATGTCTATGTCTATAGACGCAAACAGCCCAGTTCATGATCGAGCCCATACAATTTTTTGTTTCACTTGTTTTATTCCGAACATCATAATGTATAGGGCAGCAGTATTTCTACTACTACTTTATGTGACAGCTTCCTCCATGTCAGTGGTTGCTAAGGAATTGGCAGGTGCAGGCAGGTAAGATTTTCTGTAAATTAGTCTGACTGTGCATCAGTCTGCAGCCTTAGTGGACAGTCAGGTATAGCTGACTATCCACTATTACAGATTAGTGAAGTCATCAGTTGGTTCATATTGGGTCAGTTCACAACCATTAAAGATTTGCTGGCTGTTCCCAACATTGTTTTAAAATAGTAATAAATTACTGATGTTATTAACCACTTGCCTACCAGGCACTTATACCCCCTTATTTACCAGGCCAATTTTCAGCTTTCAGCGCTGCCGCACTTTGATTGACAATTGCACGGTCATGCAACATTGTACCCATATGAAATTTTGATCATTTTTTTCTCACAAATAGAGCTTTCTTTGGTGGTATTTAATCGCCACTGGGCACTTTACTTTTTGCGCTATAAATAAAAAAGTGCAAAAAATTTGAAAAAAAAAAAAAAAAGTTTCTTTGTTTCTATTATAAAATAAAAAAGTGCAAATAATTTGAAAAAAAAAAAAAAGTTTCTTTGTTTCTATTATAAAATTTTTCAAACAGGCATTTTTTCTCCTTCACTGATGTGCGTTGATGAGGCAGCACTGATGGGCACTGATAGGCGGCACTGATGGGCACTGATAGGCAGCACTAAAGGGCACTGATAGGCAGTACTAATGAGGTGGCACGGATAGGCGGCACTGATAGACAGCACTAATGAGGTGTCACGGATAGGCGGCACTAATATGCAGCACTGATAGGCGGCACTGATAGGTGACACTGATGATGGGTACTGATAGACGGCACTGACTGGCATCACTGCTGGGCACTGACTGGCGGCACTGACTGGCACAACCCCTGGGCACTGACTGGTGGCACTGACTGGCAGCACTGCTGGGCTGCACTGGTGGGTGGCACTGGTGGGCAGCACTGGTGGGTGGGCACAGGTGGGTGGCACAGGTGGGTGGCACTGGTGGGCACAGGTGGGTGGGCAAAGGTGGGTGGCACTGCTGGGCACATGTAGGTGGCACTTCTGGGCACAGGTAGGTGGCACTGCAGAGTGGCACAGGTGGGTGCACTGCTGGGCACAGGTGGGTGCACTGCTGGGCACAGGTGGGTGATCTGCTGGGCACAGGTGGGCGGAGCTAGTGGGCGCACTGCTGGGCACAGGTGGGCGGAACTTGCGGGTGGCACTGCTGGGCACCGATCATCAGGGCACTGATCATCCCCGCTCTGACAACTGCCGGTTCTCGGCAGTACTTTCCTCACAATCTGACAGCGTGAGGAAAGTGCAGCCGAGAACCGGCACTTGCATTTCCCTCTGATCAGCGTGTCATTGGACACCGCTGATCAGGTGGTAAAAGGCCTCTGTGATTGGCCTTTTACCACATCACGTGATCAGCTGTGTCCGTAGGACACAGAGATCACGGAGATCGCCGGGTTGCGCGCCCCAGAGCGCGTTCTGGGGGGATGTCATATGACGTCCACTCAGAACTGGCCGGCCGCAGTGAAGCCGTCATTCGGCTATCTGCGGTCGGCAGGTAGTTAATGTCTGTTACTAAATTTGTTTTAGGCTCCATGCAAACTGTGTAAAGTCACGTTACAAACGCAAGTTTTTTCAGCATTTTTTTAGCTTTTTTGCATTAGCGTTTAGTCGCGTTTACGTTTTTTAGCATTTTTTTTTTTTTGCAAAAACATTTTTTTTCTAAAAAAAAGTCCAAAAATGCTGGTTTGCTGTGTTTTACTGCAGTTTGCTGCATTTTACCGCATTTTTCAGCATTAGAGCGTTTTTTACAGCTAAAAAACTCCTCTGGAAACTCACTAGTTCTGGGGGTTTTTCCAGCCAAAGAACACTCCTGCCAAAAAATGCTGATTACAGCCTATGTGTGCATGGACAAGTAGGATAACATGCTGGGGAGTTTACTGGCTGTAGAAAAAAACCGCCAAAAGCCAAAAACTGCAGCTGTAAAAACGTCCAATGTGCATGAAGACGTAATGGAAAGATTTTAGTATATGATATAGTATATTGATTTGAGTATTATATTGCCAGTCTAAATGAGATTAGTTTTTCTTTCATACTTTAGAAAAGTATACAATTATTTTTATTAAGCCCTGTGGATGGTCCACTTCTCTTTGTGAGAAACTTTCTTGTTTCTAGTTTTTACAAAAGAGGTCTCATCTTTTACTAAAATTAACTATGCAGTCAAAGGTCCCCAGTAATTTAAAGAACACTGCAGCATTTTGTAAATTTCATATATTTAAATGATGTATAGATAGACCATGAACAGCAACCCCAAAGCCTGGCCTAAAAACTCCCACTGTAGAGTTCCATCCGATCCTGCCTAAATATTAGGATGCACCATACATTGAACCAAGGATCACATAAGAAAGTGGATGCACTCTCAGCACTCTCAGCATTGCTGCTACAATGGGAAGGGAAAGTACACAGCACATACAAGAGTTTTGAACCATGAGAACAGTCATTTCTGTAACGCTGGGCAGTGAGCACCTAATGTATGGTACATCCTTGCATCTAAGAAGGTTGCGACTGAACTGTACAGTAGAATTTTTCAGACAGGCTTTAGAGATGCTGATCATGGCCTATAGAGATGGCACTTAAACAAAGCTGCAGTGTATTTAACATAACAGGGCCCCTTGACTGCATAGTCAGTTTTAGTTGAATGGTGAACTTAACCTTTAACAAAATGTTTCACCAATGATACAGCCTAATAATTGGAAAATGCCACCGGTGGACCCAGAAATAACCTTATAAAACACAAGAAGAAAAAGTAAAACGGCAGATCCACAGCTGGAAATCAGTAAGATGTTATGAAACAGTTTCCTCAGCTAATAGATTAATGACCAAGACGAAGACACATTTCTAGTCCTTAGACCGCCACATCTGATTAGAAACAGTGCCTTCCTTTTCTTTTAAACAGCATGAATGAAAGTAAAATCTTCTGCTTAAATGTGGAATTTCTTTTTATATACCTGAATGCAATAAAATGTAAGCAAATATTTCTGGACAGTAAAATACAACTATCATTCCATAGTAAGGTGCCCATCCAAGAGTTATCATGAATTAGCAACCTATTTGGAAATGCTCAGCTACTAATCATTTAGTTTAACTACAGACATTTGTTTTGTTTTGTTTTTGTTTTTTTTTGTTTTACACATATATTTTATTTAAACGAGTAAACTAAAATGGGGATATAATAGAACAATTTTAGGTTATTCCAAAAACTATAATTTCCTGAATGCAAACTTTATAGGACTCGGGGGTTTATTTACTAAAGCTGGAGCGTGCAAAATCAGACTCACTTCTGCATAGAAACCAATCAGCTTCAAGGTTTTATTGCCAAAGCTTAAATGAACAAGCTGAGGCTAGAAGCTGATTGGTTTCTATGCAGAAATGAGCCTGACTTTGCACTCTCCAACTTTAGTAAATAAACGCCACTACTGTGTATAGTGTGACACTCAACTCTTTTCCTAAACCCAGAAAGCCTCCACAAACATCACAACTTTTTTGGAATTGCTTTATGTGTGTAATTGAATTGAACAGGAAAACACTCACCAAATCCAACTACACTTTAGTAATGTTGAGTGTAACTGTTCCTTAATAAAATGTGATGGATATAAAAATGTATTTTATTTCCTTTGGCATACAAATGGTATGAACCCTTCATTAACATGGGTCACTAAATAAGAATGTCAGTAGGTATATTCTTACAAATGTTCTCAATGCCTACTCATATGGCTTATGTGCTTTAAATGGGTTGTTTAGTTTTGCAATTTTAATTATTTATATTGCTTTATTTACTTTGTAGGTCAATGGGGATGTCCAACAGTCAGCCTTTCCTCTGTGCTAGGGATGATATCGGGAGTTCTCTCCTCCACTGTTGAGTCAGTTGGTGATTATTACACATGTTCAAGATTATCAGGAGCTCCAATCCCACCAACACATGCTTTAAATCGGGGAATAGGAATGGAAGGGATTGGATGCATTTTGGCAGGCATTTGGGGAACGGGAAATGGAACTACCTCATACAGCCAGAATATTGCAGCTTTAGGGATAACAAAGGTGAATTAACATTTTTAAATTATGTAATCATTTAGGCTATTTATATTTTAAAAGATTATTCTGCTCAGAGTTTTGAATTGACTGATTTTGGCAGATATAAGAGAGTAATTCACTCTTCTGTCAGGTCACCCAATTTGTTAACTGGTTGTGTTCAAATCTACAGATCTTTTTGTCTCCCTGCTGGGAGAACACAATGGCTCCGCTTGAGGGATTCCCCCCTTCAACACTGACTGTGTTGATGAGGGATTCAATCAATTTTCTTTCCTGCAACCTGTGGCCAGGTTTAAAATCGGCAAACTGGCCAAGGTAGATACAATTTTAGGAAGCATGTGCAAACAATCCAAAGCTTCCATAATGCTCAGATTTGTTATAACTTGTAACCAGTTTGTTTTAATGCATAAGATAGATAAAAAAAAACAAGCTTTCACACCATACAATATTTTTTTATACTTCTCTTGTTAATGTTTCTAGGTTGGGAGCCGTTTAGTAATGCAGACAGCAGGAATCCTTTTAATTATTCTTGGAATGTTTGGTAAATTTGGTGCTGTTTTTATTACAATTCCAGAACCAGTAATTGGAGGAATGTTTATGGTGATGTTTGGCATGATTGCTGCAGTGGGTATTTCAAATCTCCAGGTAATATCATTTATATAATTTTCAGTTATAACAATCTTTTAATTAAGACTGCTATATTTTTTCAGCAGTTTATTTTGTATTGTGTTTTGGTTTATAGTGGTATGATATATTGTATTCAATATTTTAAAGCCTATCTCCATAAAAATGTGTTTTTATTGCTTTCTGTGTCCTTAGTGATGGGACACAAAGAGAAATAAAAACCTGTGAGAGCTTCTATCCTTTCCCCGATTTAGCAAATAAATGTGCTTCTGTCATTGTCACTGTCAAATAGAGATCGGATCACTTCCTTCTTTGTCTGCAAATTCTCCCCTGGAAGGGAATAAATCTCCCCAACAGGGACATAGACAGCAATAAAAACCTTCCACCTCTGTACAAAACTAGAAGAGAAAGTTTTTTGGCTGGATTTGGATTTTAAAGTACAGTTTTTATAAACACTAACTTTGCATAACATGATTTGCAGAATGCTTTTCAAATCTTATTTGCTACTTATGTGTAAAATGTTTAGCCTCTAATAAATATTCTTGGAATTAATATTAAGTGACCCCAGGATTAATATTAACATATATCACATTAAAGATAAAAACAAATGTACTCTATGTACAACACTCTGGGGCTATTTATAAAAAAATCAAGAAAGAAACATGAGAACAAATGTGGGGTTGTTGCTTAAAGACACCGATGAGAGTCGTTGTTTAATTTTCCCAGGGAATAAAAGTAACAGCTATCTTCTCTCCATATTCTCAGTTTTTTTTTCACAGTGGGAATGATAATATTTGTTTCTAATGTCAAGAATCTGTGGTAGTGAGCCCTTGTGGATCACCAACTTGGGGTTCCCAAGGGTACAGAGTCTAAGCCCCAGTCTGCTTCTTCACTGGGGCCCCTGATGGTGGGGATGGACTTGCAGTCCAATATTTTGTGCTATCTAGCAAAAGCAACTGTACAAAACCACAGCTAAAATGAAAAAAAACCCAAGCAATGATGGCAAAAGAAAATTAAGTGCAATCTATGTATACAGATTGTCCCTGGGAAAATGAGACAAGGAATTTTATTGATCTCTGTGTGTAACAACCCCACATTTGTTCCCATGTTATTTTCTTTAATTGTTCTATAAATATGAAATGAATGAATGAACCTATAGACTTTGCTTTAGGAAATTGTAACCCAATATATATTTTTTTAATTATAGAGTACTGCATATTCTATACTGTATGATAAATACAAATAAACGTGTTTAAAATAGAAAAGCTATCTTTCAATAATGACTCCTGTCTTCAGAGAAACCACTGCAAAAATAAAGGTTGTGTTGCCCAATGCCATCACTCTCATGGGTGGCCACCAGAGGTAAATGACCTGTGCATTCAGAGCGGTATGAAGCACTTTTCTTTTTAGTTATTTTTTTTCTGTTACAACATCTCCATGACCAGATAGTCTCATAAACAGTTAGTGTCAGTGGTACACAAACAAATATATAAATACAAAGACTTCAGTGTGGTATTGTTTAAAATCAACTCTTAATTAAACATTGCACTAACATGTATCTGTGCTATTCACAGCAAAGTGTATAATATCTTATCACATATAATCCACCTGCCACTGCTTGCACTCGCTTTCAGAGGCAATGCATAAGAAGATAATTCTGGTTGTGAAGAAGGTGGA